TAGAGACAGTTCTAGGGTCAGGATCATGGACATCATGCAGATGAGAGGAAATGGAAGGACCTGATGGAGACCATTCCCAGGGAGCACATCAGAATAAAAGTCAGAGTCAAGGTCAGTTCAGGGTGAGGGTGTGATTGAGGGCATAGCCCAGAGTTAACTCAAGGGGAGCATCAGAGCAGGATCAGATGAATATAAAATTCAGGTGAGGGCAAGTCGCTAGCCTAGTGAACATGTTCAGGTCAGGGTGAGGTAGAATCAGGTGATGGTTACTGAGTGTCGGGGTCTCTGTGATTTCATAGTCAAGATCATGGTATGGTAAAGGTCATGGTCAGGAGAAGGATGAGTGTCAGGATTTGGGTCAGATTCAGGGTGCGGATGAGTTTCAAGTCGAGTAATGGGGTGACAGTCTGGGTCAGAGTCAGAGTCAAGCCAATGTTTATGTTAGGGTGAGGATCAAGGTGAAGTTCAGGGTCATGTATTCATCAGGGTCACAGTGAGGGCAGGGCAGTCTAAGACAGCGTTAAGATGAGGTTCTGTATCAGGAGTAAACTTTAGAGTCAGGAACAAAGTCAGGGTGAGGGTTAGGGTCAAGGGAAACACCCAAGCTGTGGTAAGAGTGAGGGTGAGAGTCAGACTCAGGGTGAGCAGCAGATTCAGTGTTTTACTCATGATGTGGATCAAGGTCTTGTGATTAGGGGTCAGTTCAAGGACAGTGTGAAGGTTAGGGAGAAGGCCAAAGTAAGGGTCAGGCTGAGGACCTCCTAGGGTATGGTCAAGAGTCATTTACTGGTGAAGGTTAAAGGATCATGTTGAAATGAAAGTTCAGGGATGGAGTAAAAGAAAGGGTCAGGGAAATGTTACGGTGAGAGCAGGGGATTCAGAGTCGGGAGCATCAAGTTCAGGCTCACACTCAGGGTCACGGAGTCAGAGTGAGGCTCAAGGTAAGGGTCAGCGTTCAGTTGGGAAGAGTGCTAGGAGAGGCTGGATCAAGCGGAGGTTCAGGATCTGAGTCATTCTGAGCATCAGGGTATGGATCAGATTTAGAGGGAATGCCCAGGGTCAAATGGGGGTAAAGGTCAAGGTCAGCATCAAAATGAATGCCAAGGTCAGTATGAGGGTTATAGTCAGCAACAGGATGAGGGTCAGAGTGAAGGTCAGGGTCGAGTGAGATTCAGGAGTCAAGACTAGGATAAGATTTAGGATGAGGTCAGCCGTAGGGTCCTGGTATTTGGGACAAGTTTGTTGTGAAGGCGGGAATCAGAGTTAGGGCCAGAGTTGGAGTATCAGGTAAGAGTCATGGTAGAGTCAGGACAGGGTAGAGGATGAGGTCACGCCCTGTGTCAGACTGAAAGTTGGTGGAGGGTCTGGTTCAACAGGAGGCTCAGGGGCATGGTGAGAGCCAATTTCATTGTGAAAGTCAGGGCACTTTTTTTTCGGGTCCCTAAAGGGGTCAAAGAGAGGATTAGGCTCAAGGTCAATTCAGGCCAAAGTGAGACCAAGGTGAGGTTGTGAGTCACAGAGTAAGTGTGAGGGTGAGGTCACCAACATTTTGGGGATGGTGGGCCACTGTGCCCCAAAGGGTGATTTGTTGTACAGAATAAATAACCAAGGGCTGGGGCTGGGGCTAAGCGGTAGAGCGCTCACCTCTCATGTGCGAGGCCCTGGGTTCCATCCTCAGCACCACACAAAAATCAATAAACAAAATAAAGGTATTGTGTCCAAATACAATAAATAAATATTCAATAAATAGATAAATAAATAACCTAAAGCAGACTCTATCCCACCCAGGGGCATCATTAGTATGCCCAGAAACCCAACAGGTGCTCCTTCATCTTCCACACTCCTTATTCTGCAATCTACGTTTTAGCTCCTGGGAACAACCTAGGGAGAGCCATGGACTGCCAGGAACCATCTGGAACAGCAGGAGTGATCTTTTGCTTTTGCATTCCCYCAGGCGCCATCCTTCTGGCCCGATGAGTCACAGCCTCCTCACAGCACAACGTAATGCTCTATATTTGGAGCAGGGTATGACTYGTTGGAGATTCCCCGGTCTTTTCCACTGATGTCCCCTGACTGCATTTTTTGTTGTTGTTGTTACTGGGGATTGAACCCAGGGACATATAACCACTGAGCCCCATCCCCAGCCCTTTTTCTRTTTTATTTAGAGACAGGGTCTCACTGAGTTGCTTAGGGCCTCGCTAAGTTGCTGAGGCTGGCTTTGAACTCGTGATCCCCCTGCCTCAGCCTCCTGAGCCACTGGGATGACAGGCCTGTGCCATCATGCTTGGCTTCCTGGCTGGCCCAGCAAGTCTGGCTTTAACCATTAGATCCCACGCTGGTGACATTTCACTGTGCTCTAGTTGCCTATCTGTAAACTGGGCAGTTGGGTTCGGTGGACTTTCAAACTCTAYGGGACCTTGCAGGGACCCACTCCTACCTTTCTGGTCCTGCTTCTCCTCTGAAGGCTCCACAGATCAACTGTTTCTCAGCTTTTAGAATTCACTTCCCTAATGGCCTGAACTATACAGTAATGATCTTGCAATTCAGAGCCCATCTCCCGTCCCACCAGGAATTGCCCCAACTCCTACCCAGCCCCAGTSGTCAAGGAGATTCTGCAGAGCTGTAATTTCTCTAGTTTGTGCCAAGAGAGTCAAAGATGCGGCCTGGTGCGGTGGCTGTTTTGGTTATTTATTCTGTACAACAAATCACCCTTTGGGGCACAGTGGCCCATCACCCCCAAAATGTTGGTGACCTCACCCTCACACCTACTCTGTGACCCACAACCTCGCCTTGGTCTCACTTTGGCCTATAATGACCTGGAGCCTAATCCYCTCTTTGACCCCTTTAGGGACCCTAAAATATATTCATCCCGGTGGCTCAGGAGGCTGAGATAGGAGGATCCTGAATTTAAAGCCAGCCTCAGMAAAAGTGAGGCCCTAAGCCACTCARTGAGACCCTGTCTCTAAATAAATCCAAAATAGGGCTGGGGATGGGGCTCAGTGGTCGAGTGTCCTTGAGTTCATTTCCCAGTACCAAAAAAGAAAATAGAGATTCTTTTTTGACATTTTCCCCAGATATAAAAATTGCAATATGAAATCTGTTTCTCCAAACAATACCCTGCCCCTTCTAAGAGATCTCCCAAAGCTTTCTCAGGCTGTCATTTCCAGGACTCTTCTCACCTCCCCTTTGGGGAACGTCTACTCTCAAATCATTTAAAGATATTGATTATCTGTTCCACCAGGACACTGCTCTGTTTCTCTTTGTCCTCGTTGCCTGTGCTCTGTGTCAGTTTTCAGATAAGGAAGGAGAGTGCCCTTAAGGCTCTATTTATAATATGTCCTTGAAAGATGAGTGCTGACTTCTTTAAGGTTTAAAAAAAATAAACCTGCCAGGTATAGAGATGAGATGCAAGGCAGGAGGTCACCCCAATGAGACTGAGAGCACTGTTCAGATGGGCACAGGCAGACAGCTGCACTCCCAGGTGAGTTTGCCCGAGCAGGCACACACAACACCCGGGTCAAAACAAAAGGAGGGGGGCCGGCCAGTGCATCACACCTGTTATCCCAGCAACTCGGGAGGCTGAGGCAGGAGGATCATGAGTTCAAAGCCAGCCTCAGCAATAGCAAGGCCCTAAGCAACTCAGTGAGACCCTGTCTCTAAATAAAATATAATATAGGGCTGGGGATGGGGCTCAGTGGTTGAGTGCCCCTGAATCCCTGGTAAACACCCCCCCAAAAAAAAAACAATAAAAAGAAGGAGGAGGAGGAGGAGGAGGAGGAGGAGGAGGAGGAAGAGGAGGAGGAATTGGGGTGGGGGTAAGAAACAGATTCAGGGAAAAAGAGAAAGAGAGATGTCCGGAACACGATAGAAACTCAATATATGTTTGGTGGGGTGGAGAAGGTTAGGGACTAAAGCAGGGAGAAATCCAGAGAGAACTGCAAATTTGGTGAGGAAAGCAATGAACTTGGAGTCCAGGGACCTTAATTTGAAGCCTGGCTCCACATTTATTAGAAATTGGAGCTTGGACAAGTTGCTTGACCTCTCAGAATTTTGGTTTCTTCCTCCCTCGAGTGGGTATAGAATTTCCTCCCCAACTAATCTCATAAGATTGCTGTAAAAATCAAATAAAAGAATGGCCCAGGAAAGCACTTTGTAAATGGAAAACACGACCAGTGAACAGGGCCCTCCGCATCATTGTCATAGCTGGCAATTTTTTTTTTTCCTGAGTGACACGAGTTGCTATGACATTAGAGCATTTAACCTCGCACCCATCTTGGGGTGTCATCTGTTATTATCCCTCTTCTACAGGTGGGGAGACATAAAGAGGGCCAACAATGTGTTGGAGGTCACTGAGCTAGTCCATGATTAACTGGAATTGGAACCAGGCCCTGAGTCCAGTAACCAATTCTTTCTCCCACCCCCAGGGCTTTCCTATGTATATGGTGCCTTTTTAAAAAAATATAGATATATTTTAGCTGTAGATGGACACAATACATTTTAATTTTATTTGTTTTATCTTTTTGTGGTGCCGAGGATCAAACCCAGGGCCTCATGCGTGCTAGGCAAGCGCTCTACCACTGAGCCAAAACCCCAGCCCAGGTATCTGGTGCCTTTTAACATAGACAAGTGGAATAAAATTTGCTTCCCAGTGTTAGGAGACTCTGTGTCCGTTTGCTAAGGCTGCCCTAATGGAATTCCACAGACTGGGTGGCTTAAACAACAGAAATTTCTTTTCTCGATGTTCTGAGGGCTAGAAGTTCAAGATCAAGGTGTCAGCAGGGTTGGGTGTCTGGTGAGGGCTCTCTTCCCAGTTGGCAGATGGATGCCCTCTCCCTGTGCCCTTACATGGTCTTTTCCCCTGTGCAAGGACACTCCTGGTGTCACTCCTTGTCCTTATAAGGACACCAGTCCTCTTGGATTCCGGTCCCACCCTATGACCTCACTGAAGTCTCTTTACCTTCTTCCTAAAGGATCTCTCTCCAAATACAGTCACCCTAGGGCTTCTTTGCAAATACGAGAGGGACATCCTGCAGTCCAGAACAGACATGTCATAGACAAACCCTCCACTAAATCAATAAAAAGGTTGTCCACTGCCTGCTTTTTCCTCCCAAGGAAGAATTTTAAAAATTTCATCAGATCAACAACAGCTATGGCAGCAAACATTTTTCAGCTGAGTCCTGCTGGGATAACGGCTCTCCCATGATGCCAAGCGGCTCTGCTGTGAAGGACAGAAGTGAGGTTTGTGCAAAACGTTTAAAATGTTCCTGCTTTCTCTCTCATTCTCTCTCTCTCTGCTTAAGAGCATTTTGAAGCAGTAAACAGATCTGTCCCCTCGTCCGCGATTTTTGCCAGGCATTCCTATTTATAGTTTCTAGCGCTCCTGGGTCTGGAGAAGTCAAGAATTTTCAACTCACCTGCATTTTTCTCTCCTTCTCTTAGACCTTTAGGAACTATTACTCCTGGTTCCCATGGGGTAGGGGTGGTGGGGAGAAGGTAGACGAAAAAGATTATTATTTTTTTTTTTTTTTGCAGCATGCAAAACTGCAGGTCCTTTTGAAAAAGGCTCTGGGGAAAATAAATCGTGGTTTTTCTCCTGTCGTGTTTTCTATTTATGCCTGCCATCTCCAAGCCCTCTCCAACTGTTCTGAAAACCCAGAGAAAAAGTTTTATGTTGATTTCACTCTTGAATCCCACTTCACAGACACTCTGATGTGTTTGAAGGCAAAAGAGGGAATGGCCAGAGGGGTTGGTTGCCTGGATGCCAGAAGCCATTAGAGGGTTTTTGCAATTCATCTCTCTACTCCTAGCAGCACATGATAAATTACCAGCATCAATCTATCCAACAGTATCTGACTTCAAAACTTGTGAGCCATATGTTCACGCCATTGCTTTGTGCAAATAAATGCTGTAAATATGCATTGATCTGGCACATTTCATGAGTATCTATCAAAATGTTCTCTTGTCTCCCAACATGAATATTAATAATAATAATAATAATAATACTGAATAATACCAAGTAGCAGCTATGCACGAGATTCCACACTGCCAGTTTAGTTCTCACACTTAAGGAAGGGTATCATAAAAAGAAAAGAAAAAAATAAAAGCTCACTAACCGGAAGTTCTTATGGAAGATAGAATAAAACTTGTATGCTACAGTTTTAAGAAATGGATGAGAAAGATAGAAATATGGTTGAACTTGATTTGGGGGGTAGTACCAGGGATTGAACTCAGGGGCATTCAACCTTTGAGCCACATCTCCAGMCCTATTTTGAATTTTATTTAGAGACACAGAGTCTGACTTATTGGCTTAGTGCCTCACTGTTGCTGAGGCTGGYTTTGCTCTCAAGATCCTCCTGCCTCAGCCTCCTAAACTGCTGGGATTACAAGCAGGCACCACCACGCCTGGCCTTGAATGTGATTTTTCCCAATAAAAATTCTAGGTCGGTTTTCTGCCATCTGGAGCAAAAACAAACATTTCTTTGGGAATCTTGTCTGTGTGTCCATGAACCACCACACCTCATATTAATTCTCATAGTGCAAATCTCACATTTTCTGGAAAACAAATTAAATATATTTTCAAAATTTCTCTATTATCAAGACTTCCCTCCATGGTTACCATAGTCAACAGTAGACATTCTGAGCCTCTTAAAAGACACAGCAAGACTGATAGTTGCACTGCAAATCAACAAATATTAAGTTTCCAAAAAACATGTGGAAGAATAGTATCTATCACTTTAGCAATACTGTAGTTGCTTGGGGCCTGCTGAGTTTATAGGACATCTTATTTTTTTTCAAAGCTTTGAGTATGCTCAATTTTATTAGAAACATTTATAGCTGCTTTAATTTTCCAGTAATTTGGGAATATTTTTAAATACATAATAGAAACAAATAAAACAAATGTGCATGCCTTCCAACCCAAACAGCTAATGTTAGCATTTTGTCCACTGTCCTTCAAATATTTTCTTTAGAATACATGACAAAAATTATAGATAAGTCGTTAGTCTTCTCTGTGCTTCTTGGAAGCCTTATTTTCCTGTCTGACTCCCAAAATTGACCCCCATAAAGAATTCGGAGTGTATCCTTCAGTCACAGACATGTGTAGCCATCAGTAACRTAAGATGTGGCTTTGTGTGTTTTTGAACAATTGTATTTTTATAACTATACAAGTTTATATTTATATAAATAATTCATTTAAATTTATGCAAATGTATATCTATATTTACATAAATAATTTATATAAGTATATAAATTTAAATATATATTTTTAACATTTTGAATTAGTTATACATGAGAGTAAAATGTATTTATGCACTTTGATATATCACACATAGATGGGGTATAATTTCTCATTTTTCTGAGTGTACAYGCTGCAAAATCATATTGGTCATGCACACAMACAGTAATAATGTCTGTTTCATTCTGCTATCTTTCCTATCCCCAAGTCCCCTCCCCTCCCCTCCAATCACTTCCCTYTAATCTAAGGTGACACTATTCTTCCCAGTGCCCCCCACCTTATTGTGAATTAGCATCTGCATATTAGAGAAAACATTCAGCCTTTGGTTTTGTGGAATTGGCTTATTTTGCTTACCATGATATTCCCCAACTCCAACCATTTACTGGCAAATRCCATAATTTCACTCTTCTTTAAAACTGAGTAATATTCCATTGAGTATATATCCCATATTTTCTTTATCCATTCATCTAGAGAGAATATATTTAATATATTTGATAAATATAAATGCATAAAAAAAATTTATATTTATCTAAAAATTTATAGGAATATAGTTATATATATAATTTATATAAGTTTATGAATATATAAATTTATATTTATGTGAATACAAATTTATATAAATATAGAAATATCTTACTGTACCTTCAAGTTAATTTTTCATTCAGCATTAAACTTTGGAGGAAACTTTATGTTACTTGCTGGCATTTTTGCAACGTTTAATTTTTTAAAGCAATTTACATCTCTTACCTTAAACTAATGGATTAAGAAACTTCATGAACTGGGAGACACCCATACTCCATACTTCATGGAACATCAGGGAATAATGAGGACTAAGACAAGGACTTGGGCGCAGTTAGTCTATCAGGAGAATTGCAGAAGAGAGAAGAGCAGGACGCTGGGTGTGATCGCATGCACTGGTAGTTCTGGTGATTTGAGAGGCTGAGACAGGAGGATCACAAGTTGGAGGCCAGGCTTGGTGGTGTAGTGAGACCCTGTCCCAAAATGAAAAATAAAAAGGGTTCAGGGTAAAGTTCAATGGTAGAGAGCCCCTGGGTTCAATCCCCAGTAACATTCCTCCTATCCCAAAGAAGTAGAGGTGCAAAAGAAGTCGATGTAAGTGTGGATTACTGAAATTGCCCCCAGGGCAGGGGCAGCAGGAGTTAATTCTATCAGGGCCCTTCARAATCACACAAAAGCAGCCCAGAATGGTTGCTGGAAGGACTGAGGCTGAGAACTCTCACCTTCAAGCTGCCCTTCCTCCCCATTGGTTGAAGTTGGCTCTACCTTTGCCCAGTTTGGGGCTGTACCATCCGTGGGTCACTAGAGCATCGGAGAGGCCCTGAAGCAGGACAAGATACACAATGCACATTTGGTTAGGGCTTGTGCACCCCAATGGGTCCACCCCCAAATTGGGCCATGTGAACACCATCCTCAGCTGGGGACACAGGGGCTGGACATCAGGTGACATCAGGCCTCTGCCCTCCACAGTAGGCCTGCCCTGCTCCCTCACACCCAACAAACAACAAGGAACAATTTTTCCATTCCCATGAGCTGTCTCAGCAAATTCCCAGCAAAGGGTCACCATCTTTGAGGTCATCTATCTCTTGCAGCCCCAAAACCGAACAAACTAAACCAATTCCACTTAGGTGACTCACCTTGTCACATCCTTTCCCCTAAGTCAAGTGGAAGAGCAGCTTCCCAGTTATGTGAAGAAGCCAACAGCATCTTCCTGGCTGGCCTGTACTAGACTGCAATGAAAGGCAATGACCACTTCTGTTTTTAAAACTACAGCACACAGTAGATGCTCAGTTAAATACATCACGACCTGTTGGCTTCCCCTTAYACCTAAAATGCCAGCTGTAGTTTGCATTACTCTTCAAGAGATGAGCTCATGACCTGAGAAGATTTCTACACCATCCAGGACACCCAYTGAACTCACTCATTACCATCCCCTGGGCAACCATAGGGGAGAGGATGGGCATGTTGTTTAAAATAAAGGGGTCCATGGCATTGGCTCTCTCAGTGCCAAAGCAACAGTATGTATTCATTGTCAGGTGAAGGGGAAGAAGGGCAGAGGGAAGGGAGAGGGTGAGAGACCCAAGCGAGGAAGTAAAGTTGGGAAGGATTGGGAGTTTTTCTTGATGACAACTTTCTAAATCTTTATGCTGACAGTGGGAGTCGGTTTGTGATCCTTCTTAGGTGTGAAAAGCATTGGAGAGGATGTGGGGAAAAGGCAGCCGTCATACACTGCTGATGGGACTGCAAATTGGTATAAGCACTCTGGAAAGCAGCATTCAGATTCTTCAAAAAAACAGGAATGGAACCATCATTTGACCCACTTATCCCACTCCTCAGCATATATCCAAAAGATTTAAAATCAGCATACTACAGAGACACAGCCTCATGAATATTTATAGCAGTCTAATTCACAATAGCTAAGCTATGGAGCCAGCCTAGATGCCCATCAACAGATGAATGGATAAAGAAATTGTGGTATATATATTAAATGGAATATTACTCAGCAGTAAAGAAGAATGATTTTATTGTATTTGCCAGTAAATGGATGAATCTGGAGAACACCATGTTAAGTGAAATAAGCCAATCCCCCAAAAAACACAGATTGAATGTTTTCACTGATATGTGGAAGCTAAACCACAATAGAGTGTGGAAAGAGAAGAAGAGAAGTTCAGTAGCTTAGACAAAGGGGAAGGAAAGGAAGGAAGAGGGGATAGGAATAGGAAAGACAGTAGAATAAATCTTACAAAATTTTCCTACATACACATATGAAACTACCTAAGTGAACTCCACCATTGTGCCCACCCACAAGAATAGAGTCGAAATTAGAATAAGATAGATCCCATGCTTGTATAACTTTATCAAATTGGATTTAACTGCCACGTATAACTAAGAAAAAACAATAAAAATAAAAGGCAATTTCCAGCCTCAGCAGCTTAGCGAGGCCCTAAGCAACTCAGGGAGACCCTGTCTCTAAATAAAATATAAA